ACTATTCCCCGTTTTAGTCTAATCTGACCAGAGTACCTACTTCCATATGTTTGGGGAGTCTCCCACATGCCTTTTGGCGAACACCAAACGTGTTTGCTTATTTTTTTCTTTAAGCAATGGCTTTTTTCTGGCCACTCTTCCGTAAAGCCCAGCTCTGTGGGGTGTACGGCTTAAAGTGGTCCTATGGACAGATACTCCAATCTCCGCTGTGGAGTTTTGCATCTCCTTCAGCGTTATCTTTGGTCTCTTTGTTGCCTCTAATTAATAATGATAATAATATGCCATTTAGCAGACGCTTTTATCCAAAGCGACTTACAGTCATGCGTGCATACATTTTTGTGTATGTGTGGTCCCAGGGATCGAACCCACTACCCTGGCGTTACAAGCGCTGTGCTCTACCAGCTGAGCTACAGAGGACCACAATTAATTAATGATTAATGATTAATGATTAATTATTCACTTCACCAATTTGGACTATTTTGTGTATGTCCACTACATGAAATCCAAAAAAAATCCATTGAAATTAGAGGTTGTAATGTAACAAACTAGGAAAAACGCTAAGGTGGTTAATACTTTTGCAAGGCACTGTATGGGAACTGTAAGTATGGCTTCTGGTGCCCCCTAGTGGTCAACTCTACACATTACGTGTCAGAACGGACATTTCTATGGTTTACTGACTTCCTGTATTGACGTGAGCCCTTTTGAAATAATCATTTCATTATAGATCTGATCATTACCTGACTTATTTAAAGGTGTCTGTTAAAATGTTCACTGTTTAACGTTGGTGCATTCATAGTATGAGTCCGTTTCATTCAGATTGTCCCAGAATGCAAATCTGTACAGGTCCGTTAAAACTTTCACTATTGCACAGCTGTTAGTCTACACAACTGTCCAGGTATGTTACACGATTGTCCTTAAATACGGTGTGTGTGTGCGTGTACAGTCTGCACATAAAGTAAGAGTGGAAATATCAGCGTGGGACTCTGACCAACAAAATGTGATCATAAAAATATGAATGGCTGAACAACCAATGCTCTTTGCTCGTCCCTTTCCTCCATATCTGGTGATAGCGATGGTCCCTGTCAGTTCCAGGGTCTGGTTGAGTAGGAGGTAGTCACTGGGTTTCCCTTGGTTGCCATAGATCATTCTCCGCTGAACACACACTGTGTAAAATGGCCTGTTTCCGAGTGTGTGTCCAAAAGTCTTTAATCATAAGGAGTAAAAGCCAAGTATTGACAAGTCGTGATAAAAGTCAAAGCTCAAAAGTCGTCAGTTGGTAAATTCAACGTTATTCTCTGACTTGACCAGTCTCAATGAGTCAGCCCTGGAAGACATTGATTTTCACACACACTGTAAACCCTTTGCACTTAATATATCTGAGTACAGTTACTTAAAGTGATTTTGTAGTCATTACGCAAACCGATAGTCAGGGTTCCAGACTTGAGTTGTATCAGCAACCATTTTTAAATGGTAACGCCCCCCCCCCCCGCTGTGCCTTTTTTAGTGAATTGTAGAGTGCCCACCCGTGACTGTATTTGTTAGTGACTGAGACCTACATGGTTGTTGAATTCGTTCATTTTCAGTCCTGTGGCCTTCACCAAGTGAGAACCTAGGCGAATATTATCATAATAATTCAACTCTTTATGACAATACATTACATATCTCATAAGGCCTTATTTTGAGGCCTAGCTTTTCCCTAGTACAGTGGCCTGAAACTCATGGTTTACAGGCCACATCAGGCCTGCAAGTAGGGTTGCAAAATTCCCAGATAAAAAAAAGAAATCAAAGAATATTCCAAACGGGATCTCTGGAAAACCTGGCAAATTTACCAGAATTTTAGAACCCTACCTGCAATTCACATTATGCTGATATCCAACAGTTGAAATTTTTATTCACCCGCAACCTGCATTCAGAATGACTGCCAGGGTTAGGAATAGTGTGAGGAGACGTCCTAAGCCATTTAAACGGGAACAACCATTTCAGTAACGGGTGCAAAACAATCTAACTAAATGGATGGATTAGTTTAGAAAAAGTTATGTTTTTTTTTAGGAGGTAGATCAGCTTTAATATTGCAGATAGATTGTGGCTTCTATCAGTGTAATTGTCTGCATAATTTCCAATCCTCCATATACATTTTATTTTCTAAATATGTATATATCTTTTAATATATATATATATATATATATATATATATATATATATATATATATAATTATTTTTTTCCTTCTTTATTATTTTCCCCTAACCCTACCACCCCTCCCCTAATTGGAGTAAACTAATTGACAACAATACTTAGGTTTCTACTTCCAGTTTATACATACTATATACATTTTAAAGACAGTATATTTTACAATAGTTATATTTTGTTTGTTTTTAGTCCCAGCCTTCAGCTACCCTCAACCCCTCCCATCTATCTCTGAAGACCATCCAGTTTAGATTTCTTGCTGCCATATATTATTCAACTGTGCTGTGATGTTTCACAAAAGTTCTGAACCTTTCTATTGTCATAGTTTCTACAGATTCTAGGTTAAAGAAACCTTTTTGCTAAGAGTATTATTATATTATTGATCGATTGACTGTGACTTTTCAAATCACCCATCAGTGCTATTTGCAGAGTTGGCTCCAAGTAAATGTTGCAATTTTTCAGCCATTCCTGAACAAGCTACATATGAACAGCACCAAAACAAGGGATCTTTTATTTTATTTATTTTTATTTTTATTTCACCTTTATTTAACCAGGTAAGCCAGTTGAGAACAAGTTCTCATTTACAACTGCGACCTGGCCAAAATAAAGCAAAGCAAAGCAGTGCGATAAAAACAACAACACAGAGTTACATATGGGGTAAACAAAACAAAGTCAAAAATACAAACAGAAAATATATATACAGTGAGTGCGAATGTAGTAATTATGGAGGGTAAGGCAATACATAGGCCAGATCTAATGATTCTGTCTCTTTGCAGCAAAATCTGCAGCTCTGGGATGGTTGTATCCCCCATATATATAACATTCTATTGGTTGCAAGAATTTTGTATAATAATATAAATTGAAAAAACTCTTAAGTTTGTTATTTATCTTTGTGTACATGCAAAAACACACATATTAAAAACAATTCCCCAAAATCTACCTACAGTTGAGCATGCTGGGATAAAAGTTCATTTGTTATCATAACCTAAATAAAAAATAGAATTGATGTGACTTCTCATTTAGTTTTGAGTCATTACCACAAACATTTTAAAGTAATAATGACTTTTTATTGACCGTGAGTTCAACTTACTAGAAGTATTTGAGTTTTAAAAAATGCCTTGGGGTTTACAGTGCATAGCTCTTAACACGTTGTCCATTGTTCTCAATCCCAGCCAGAAGCTCAGCAGTCATGTGCTTTTCCTGTGTATATGTCTATAGGCTTTTAAATTAGTTCAAATATTTCAAAACCCTCTTAATAAGAATAATACACTATCAAGTTATTGGGGTCTATTCATCCAATATTATCATGTCTTGAACTTTTTTTTTGCTATTTTGCCCTGGTGATCTTGAACATGGAAAATAGTCAAGCAACTGCAATTGGCATTCCTGCGATTATTTAAAAAAACAGATTTTGATAATTAATTTGAATTAGTTAAGACTAATAATTAACAGGTTTGGTAAAATATGTTTAATTATGCTACTGGGCGACTGCCACAGTTTTTCAAAGTATAGTCCACGTCGCTGAATGATAAAAAAATGTGACATGATTTGGTAGGACTGACCTTTTTTTAATAATGTTATTGTTTTTACACTGTCTATTTCTCTCTACAAATAAAAAAAAAATGGAAATGCCAAATCAAATCCAAACTTTATTTAAATTGCATTCACAATACATTTGCGGATCTTTGTGTTGTATCATGAATGGAACACTAGCACATGAGCCCGGCAAAATGTATGTTTGAATTTAAAGAGTTCTAGCTTAAAAGAGTTGTTTTGTTACCTGTATGAAAAAATCAAAAATGCACTCACTACTGTAAGTCGCTCTTGATAAGAGCATCTGCTAAATGACAAAAATGTAAATGTATATACAAAAACAAGTAAATCATTCGTTACAGACCCAATAGAACAAATATTTTAACTTTCCTCCAGTCTCAAAATGTAGCACCAATATTTATTACATAACGCAAGTAATGTAGCACCAATATTATTCACGTGCATGTAAACATTGTTTAAAATGGAAATGTTTGATTTAAATATATCCATAATACTACAACTTCCATGCAGTAACAGTCTTAAATTAGCACCTAAACAATAATTTAATGTATCTCACAACAAATCATTCAAACCTTTCAGCACTCGAAACAAAATCATGCTTGTGAAGATCAAATCAAATCAAATTTCAAATCAAATGGAATGTTATTTGTCACATGCTTCGTCAACAGTGAAATGCTTACTACAGTATTTATTTCTCATCCATGACCTTTGTGTGACCTTTGTCTCTATCAACTTCTCACATTATGCTTTCTAAAAATGGTGAATACTGTAATATGATATATTGTTTAAACCAGGAATATTCATAAAGTTTAAAGAAGAGAAATTAAAATAAAGAAAAAAATGAAACGCTTTGCGGGACTCGGACCAATAAATATTGCAAACAATAATGTCTTCATATTTCATTGTCAGTCCATGTTGCTTGTTGTCTCGTTTTGCAAATCATCGTAGAGCTTCTTTGGTGGTGTTTCCTTTGTTAGTACCTGGGTAGATATAAGGAAAACACATCATGCCAGAAATCATTTGCAGTATTTTATTTTAAGGAGGTAAATCTTTGATTCCTTGTGTCCTCTCTCCTTGGTACTGAAGTTCCTCCTCTGAGGGGCCGGAACCTCAGGTCTTCTGCTACAAGGTGCTTTGAGAAGGATAGGATGAGTCGGGACACAAGGAATGAAGGACAGATTCACCCTCGGTGTAGTATTTCTGGTATACAGTAGTATTTTTTTGAGTATTCCCCAAAATGGACAAAAGACGGCACTCACGATGTAACAGTACACCCTGAAACCTGGACAGAGGTGCCGCTGTACTGAATACTACAACGGACAATATTATTGTCAAAGTTGGACTCTGGAACCTGGTGACCTGGGTTTACAGTGATCTGGAACAAACAGGCATGAAGTAAAACGTCAGGAATCATTCACATCACATTGCTACAATAGGTTGAATTTGGACAGTAATATCAAACATGTTTATCAATAGCACACAGTATGAACAGGAAATAAACCTCCTTAGCTAATACTATAAAAGAAGAAGAAGAAGAAGAAGAAGAAGAAGTGTAACAAACCTTAAGGATATACTTCCCAGGCGTCACATCAGTAATGTCAATCCACTGACAGTCAATATCGGCATTATAGGTGTCATAGCATCCAGGACTCAAACCCTAAAACAATCAACCCAAGACAAAGAGATTCATCCAACGACCGGTTCAAAAATAGCCTGGTCCCAGATCTCTTTGTGCTATCATGTCAACTCCTTGTCACTTGGCGTGGGTTGACATGATAGCACAAGCAGATCTGGGACCAGGCTAGCACAACAACACAAACAGATCTGGGAACAGGCTAGCACAACAACACAAACAGATCTGGGACCAGGCTAGCACAACAACACAAACAGATCTGGGAACAGGCTAGCACAACAACACAAACAGATCTGGGACCAGGCTAGCACAACAACACAAACAGATCTGGGACCAGGCTAGCACAACAACACAAACAGATCTGGGACCAGGCTAGCACAACAACACAAACAGATCTGGGAACAGGCTAGCACAACAACACAAACAGATCTGGGACCAGGCTAGCACAACAACAATGAATAAAAAGGTACAATACATTATACTCCATTGAGCCCGATCCGGTTCTGTCTTTACTATTGAATGGTGAAAGCTCTCAGATGCAAACTAATGTTTATAGCCAGGCCTCTCTTCACACTGGGCACATTCAGTACGTCATTTCAACGCCTAGTTTTGGTTGAGTAGTCATCTAACGTAAATTCAACGTGAAATCAACAACAAATGTCACCATGTCATTGGATTTAGGTTAAAAGTTGGGTCAAAAAAATTATGATTCCCTTAAATTGATGACTTTTTTGCAAATCCAATCAGTTTTCCACGTTGATTCAACGTCGTCACAGATTTATTTGGGTTTAAATGACGTGGAAACAATGTTGATTCCACCAGTTTTTTTTTTTCTCCCATTGTGCTGTGTGATGGAAACACATATTGCATGCTGTGTAATGGGCTAGTATTATAGTGGAGCGTAAGGTGATGATCACAGGATTGCGCCACACATGGCACCCTATTCCCTACACGGTGCACTACTTTTGACCAGAGCCCTTTTGGGACACGATAAAAAAAAAGCAGTGCACTAAATAGGGAATAGGATGCAATATGGGATACAGGCTACAGTAACAACAGACCTGCGTGTGAGACGTGCAGGCGAAGCGTCTGTAGTATCCAGGGTCACATGACGTGTCCTCCAGACAGAAGCTGGCCTTGTGTCCCTCGGCCACGCGTCTCTCGGAGCCTGGCTCCAGCAGCTCATACAGGCTGAACTCATCCATGCTGTGGAAGTGACTGGAATACATGGACCATATTCACATCAATGACCAGACCACAACAGACTCTCAATGCACCACTTTCAATGTTGGTATTGCAAGCTAATAGCCTAGATCTGTTGAGAGCACTCTCCACCATGCCCCATGCCTGTAAAACTGTACAGGCTAATAGAAGCCTGTCTTAAAGGGATAGTAACATCAACATCTATATTTTAGTATTTTTGTTCATTAGTCCACTGTTAATACAATTCCCCAAAATGTTGCATGTCAGCAGCCACATTTTCAAGAAAGAGCACTTTCAGTACAGAGACAAAACTGTGATGATGATGATGATGCGTTTTGAGTTGGATGTTTGAGTTGGATGTTTGAGTTGGATGTTTGAGTTGGATGTTTGCTCCAAAGATATTGAAAAGGTGGGGCTATCTGTAGCCTACTGACGCAGTGACAATAGACTTAACTTTTATGCAAACTGAACCATTTTAATGTCGACCGCCATATCTTACAAATGTTCTATAAATCTGTCCTGCAGAGTGTGCTGTCCTTTGGTCTGATATGCGTGTTCGGAAACATGCGAGTGCAAGACCAAGTCAAGCTTCAGCACTTGATTAAGACGACGGGAAGGATAATTGGTATAGATCAAGAATCAGCCACCAACCTGTACACAAAACTCATCCTTCTAAAACTTGAAAGCATTTTACAGGACAGTACTCATCCCCTTCACTCAAATCAATCAATCACAGCAGCAGTCGGACAAGGGGAAAGAGACTTCTTCAAAAGAAAAATGAAAACAGATAGATATGGGGACTGTTTTATTCCAACAGCCATTAGGCTGTATGATAGATCGTCTGTTGGTCCCTCCATTATACAGCAGATTGCACGTTCACTTTAAATGTCTAGCTATAGCCCTTTGTATGAATTATTTTGTGTAGTTTCTGTGTTTTCATGTTTTATGTACTGTCTTTTTTAAGCACATGACCAAATGAATTTCCCCCTGGTGGGATAATAAAGTTGATCTGAATCTTAATCTGAATCTCTGAATATGAATATATTTATATATACATCTTTATGCATCCATGTCCATTACTCACTGATGGCAGCTGTGCCATTCCCAGGCATAGCGAGGTTTGCTGGGCAGGAAGTCAGCAGTGCCCTGGTTCTTCACGCGCTGGGGGAACCGCAGCAGCACCCGGGTGTCGTAATCTGCCACGCCCTGAGCAGAACTGTCCCCGTCACAAAACATCTGGTCTTAGACATTCAAATGGTTCATATGGTAATGCACTTTCATTTATGCATCAATTCATTTTTTTTTTTTTCAACTTTTCACATTCCAGGGACTCCAGTCCAATTAGTCCAATCATTCCTGACCCATATTCTTCATGATTAACTACTCCTAAATGTCCTTTTAGAACTCCTGAAAGGAAACTGGAGTCTGGCTCTATTGGTTACTACGTTTAATGAATATACAGTATATGCTACTATAGGCTTCTGATGGGTTTAACTACTGTAATACGTGGCAGAACCCGGACTGAGCGGTAACACTCAACACATGCACACACAAACTTCCCACCGGAAACCAGCGTTCAATCCCTGGTTTACCCTAACAACCTTCCTCTCCACAGCTATATCTCTCTTGTGTAATTTCTAATCCGTCTAATACACGCTTGAATATACCTTAAACCACTGTAATCAGAGGCTTCTTTACATTGGAGTTCAGCACACATACACGTCTAAAAGCTGAGTCATTTGAATATTGATGGATGGACATTGTAAACACCAGTAGCTATATGCACTGAGTGGACAATACATTAAGAACACCCTTTTGCCCTCAGAACGGCCTCATTCATCGGGGCATGGACTCTACAAGGTGTTAAGCTGCATGTCCTTTGGGTGGTGGACCTATTGTTGATACACACGGGAAACTGTTGAGCGTGAAAAACCCAGCAGCGTTGCAGTTCTTGACACACTCAAACCGGTGCGCCTGGCACCTACTACCATACCCCGTTCAAAGGCACTTAAATATTTTGTCTTACCCATTCACCCTTTGAATAGCACACACACACAATCCATGTCTCAATTGTCTCAAGGCTTAAAAATCCTTCTTTAACCTGTCTCCTCCCCTTCATCTACACTGATTGAAGTGGATTTAACAAGTGACATCAATAAGGGATCTTAGCTTTCACCTGGATTCACCTGGTCAGTCTGTCATGGAAAGAGCAGGTGTTCTTAATGTTTTGTACACTCAGTGTAGATTGGAATGTCACTGCCGTATGAGAATACCTTGCGAGGCAACCTTCCTCAGCTGCACATCTCAGATTGTACATGGGCGACCTCTGGACATAGGAGGAAACTTGAATATAGTATGGGTCTGGCACCAAGTCAGGGAGACCTGTCAATCATGTAACAAATGCAATATTATTAAGTAGCCTTATGCATGCTGTTAAAAAAATGAATTGGAATAAAATGCCATACAAATGTGAAGAAAAAAATCTATTTAAAAAGTGAATTACTGGAAGGGAAATATTGCACTTACCTCCATGTTGATGATAACTTGTGCCATAACCATGTGGCTCAGTGCTTCTGGCTCTAGGTCTGTAGTAAGCATCATAATAATTATAGTAGGGATTATAGGGATTATAACCAATGGATTTATAGGGGTTGTTCGGGTCATCTCCAACCATCATATTCTCTCTTCTCAAATTGGTCAGTGGTGGAGAGTTAGTGGATGTGGGTTTGTCTTCGGTGGGATTTGATCCATCGCCTGCATCATGGCCAGGTCTTGAAGCAGTCTCCCGGCTCTCTTGGGGTCTTTCATACCTAATCACCCCATTAGGATATCGACGCGTTGTGCGTAAATGCGCACCCGGCGCTGGCCGCCTTGGAGAGCCTCTTGGCGCGGGGTATCTGTGCACGTTCGTCTCTTCAGCCGTCTCATTATTGTTGCTAACGACAACTATGGGATTCCGTTGAGCTGAACCTGTTTTTCGGTCTCTTCGGCCCGATGGCTGATATTCGGAACCGTGGCTGAGTATACTAAACACCTGGCCGTTTTGTTGCCATTGCATTCTCTGCCTTAAAGCTGCTGATGGCGAGGCATCCTGTGTAAGAACTGTTTGCAATATACAACTGAGGATGCATAGCTGTGTCAACGACAATAAACAGGCTTCAAAGCCAAGACCCCTCATTATCCTAATCAAATAAACTAATATTAATGAGGTGAATGATATATCCACATGCGAAATACAAAATAAAATATAATTTGTTAGGAAGCAGAATTTGGAGAATGTTTTCTCACCAACCGAGCAGAATCAAATTTAGGCCTATAGTGAGAGGAACTATTGCTCAGGCAATCTCGCATCTTGAACGCGCAAGACAGTTTGTGGAGTGTGAAGGAGGGGTGTGAGTTTTAACGTTTCAGAAACAGTTACACAAGTGATACCGGCATGCGCGCTGCCGAGGAAGTGGAAGTGGTTGGCATTAGCACGGGCACGTCACGAGCAATGAATTCTTATTAAATCAAATCAAAATTGTATTTGTCACATGCGCCGGATACAACAGGTGTAGACCTTACCGTGAAATGCTTACCTACAAGCCCTTAACCAACAATGCAGTTCAAGAAATTGAGTTAAGAAAATATTTACTAAATAAACTACAGTAAAAAATAAAATAAAAAGTAAGACAATACAATTACATAACAATAAGGAGGTTTTATACAGGCGGTACCAGTACCGAGTCAATGTGCGGGGGAACAGGTTAATCGACGTAATTTGGACATATAGGTAGGGGTAAAGTGACTCTGCATGGATAATAAACAACGAGTAGCAGCATTGTAAAAACAAGGGGGGGGGGGCAATCTAAATAGTCTGGATGGCCATTTTATTAATTGTTCAGCCGTCTTATAGCTTGGGGGTATAAGCTGTTAAGGAGCCTTTTGGACCTAGACCTGGCGCTCCGGTACCGCTTGCAGTGCGGTAGCAGAGAGAACAGTCTATGACTTGGGTGACTGGAGTCTTTGACAATTTTTTGGGCCTTCCTCTGACATTAAGGGTGTCAGTGGTGCAAGATAAGTCCGGTTTTATAATACAAGTATAGCCTTACAATAAATGTTGTTCAGCCTATTCACAGGCAACAAAAATTCTCTACATTGTGAAAAATAGTAGTTTTGCTTTTCAGATATTTCAGAAGATTTTGTAGTACATTTTGAAAGACAATACATAGTCTGTTTTTAGGTGAAAGAGGATTGATCAAAATCAGCTTGAGCTCTGAGAATTGTTGTTGACTTATGTAAGATTTGTTTCTTTGTTCTCGCTCTCTCAATACCTTTCACCCTTTTTTAGTCAGATATAATTAGTGGTGTTCCCTCACTCACCCAGTAGTTTTTGGCTGCCCTTCACGGTGAGCTGATTTCCAAACCTTGATGGTTATGCGTTGTCTTCCTTTGCTTTATTGATCTTGTAGGCCTGTGACACTTTTGCTCCTATAGCAACAAATTACCTTCTCTTAGTCCTTGATACAATTTTAAATAAACGATTCAGTAGGCTAAGTATCATTCGTGAGAAAGTAGGCTATTTTCTAATAGACTGTTCTGGTAACTTCTATAGCCTTTATTTCATAGTTCTCATTTCTAACCCCTACTGAGAAGCTCGGGATGCTTTAACATCCTGAAATTGAGGCACTTAGTAGAAAATTCCACTTTTACAGGTTATCCCCCTTTTAGAGGTTATCCCCCTTGAAGAGGTTATCCCCGTTTTAGAGATTACCCCCGTTTTAGAGGTAACCCCCATTTTAGAGGTTATCCCCGTTTTAGAGTTTATCCCCATTTTAGAGTTTACCCCCCATAACAAGAGAACATGGCTGCCACAGGACCAGCCATCAAGTTCAGTACATGGTGGATATTCAGAGTCTTACACTATTAACTACTAACCAATCCATATTATCTGCAATCTCAACCATTGGCTTTGCACAAACTTACATTAATTATTGCATTTGCATACCCGGTCTGAATGGACATTTAGAGGTGATATCTCTCTATTTGTGCTACTTGTTGATTCATTCAAATGGGTAACACAACATATCTACATACACTGATACACACCGGAAACTGTTGAGCGTGACAAACCCAGAAGCATTGCAGTTCTTGACACCAACCGGTGTGCCTGGCAACTGCAGTGCATTCGGAAAGTATTCAGACCCCTTCACCTTTTCCACATTTTGTTACATTACAGCCTTATTTTAAAATTGATTAAATTGTTTTTTCCCCTCATCAATCTGCTGACAATACCCGATAATGACAAAGCAAAAACAGGTTTTTAGATTTTTTTGTTCAAATGTATACAAATAACAAAACCGAAACATCACATTTAAATAAGTATTCAGATCCCTTTGTTGAAGCACCTTTGGCCGCGATTACAGCCTTGAGTCTTCATGGGTATGACGCTACAAGCTTGGCACACCTGTATTTGGGTAGTTTCTCCCATTCTTCTCTGCAGATCCTCTCAAGCTCTGTCAGGTTGGATGGGGAGCTGCACAGCTATTTTCAGGTCTCTCCAGAGATGGTAGATCGGGTTCAAGTCCGGGCTCTGGCTGGGCCACTCAAGGACATTCAGAGACTTGTCCCGAAGCCACTCCTGCGTTGTCTTGGCTGTGTGCTTAGGGTCGTTGTCCTGTTGGAAGGTGAACCTTCGCCCCAGTCTGAGGTCCTGAGTGCTCAGGAGCAGGTTTTCATCAAGGACCTCTCTGTACTTTCCCTCAATCCTGAAAAGTGTCCCAGTCCCTGCCGCTGAAAAACATCCGCACAGCAGGATGCTGCCACCACCATGCTTCACCGTAGGGATGGTATTGGCCAGCTGATGAGCGGTGCCTGGTTTCCTCCAGACGTGACGCTTGTCATTCAGGCCAAAAAGTTCAATCTTGGTTTCATCAGACCAGAAAATCTTTCTCATGGTCTGAGAGTCTTTAGGTGCCTTTTGGCAAACTACAAGCGGGCAGTCATGTGCCTTTTACTGAGGAGTGGTTTCCATCTGGCCACTACCAGAAGGCCTGATTGGTGGAGTGCTGCAGAGATGGTTGTCCTTCTGGAAGGTTCTCCCACCTCCACAGAGGAACTCTGGAGCTCTGTCAGAGTGACCATCGGGTTCTTGGTCACCTCCCTGACCAAGGCCCTTCTCCCCCGATTGCTTAGTTTGGCCGGGCGACCAGCTCTAGGAAGAGTCTTGGTGGTTCCAAACTTCTTCCATTTAAGAATGATGGAGGCCACTGTGTTCTTGGGGACCTTCATTTCTAGAAACCTGTTTTCGCTTTGTCGTTATGGGGAATTGTGTGTAGACTGATGAGGAAAACTAATTATTTAATCAATTTTAGAATAAGGCTGTAACGTAACAAAATGTGGAAAAGGTGAAGGGGGTCTGAATACTTTCCGAATGCACTGTACTACCATACCCCGTTCAAAGGCACTTAAATATTTTGTCTTGCCCACTCAACCTCTGAATGGCAGACATACACAATCCATGTTTTAAGGCTTAAAAATCATTCTTTAACCTGTCTCCTCTCCTTCATCTACACTGATTGAAGTGGATTTAAACATGTGACATCAATAAAGGACCTTACATAGCTTTCACCTGGATTCTTAATGTTTTGTATCCTCAGTGTATATTGCTGATGTAAGACAGGATGCAGTTTTCAATACCTTACATGCAGATAAAAACATCAACACAAACGACAGTGTCCATGTTCCCATTAAAGTGGACCTACTGACCGCACTAAATAAGACCACTACATGGAATAAATCTTCCCCAAAAATCAGAACCTGCAGTAGCCCATTTTAAGAGTTCTACCATGCCTCTGCACTTAACAAAAAAAGTGAGACGACTGAACAAGACGCGTTTTATAGCATCTGCGTAAAGATCAAAGGGAACCAACTTTATCGTATGTTAGGCATTTCCTTCTAAATATACAAGGTAGCCGGGTCTCATTTCAATGAGTTGCAGGTGTCCCACATTCAGCCCCAACACTTTAATCACCTTCTATAATGAGGCAGCTCTCCCTGGGCCCACGGGCGGCCTGTCTCTTACAGGACACATAAACTCAATGGAAAACTGACACAATGGGAATGCTTTTACCATTATCAGTGCCTGTAAAACATTTGTGAGGACTTTGTACAATAAAGAATCGGCGTACACCTCCCTCGTCCATTTATGAAATTGAAAACCTTTCAAATTAAAAGCTAAAAGCTGGACATAATGATGATTGTTATGAGGTGTCGATGGTGCTTTAAGGAGATTACAGTGCATTCGGAATATATTCAGACCCCTTGACATTTTCCACATTTTGTTACGTTACAGCCTTATTCTAAAATGGATTAATTCGTTTTTTCCTCTAAATCAATCTACACACAATACCCCATAATGACAAAGCAAAAACAGATTTTTAGAAATGTTTGCTAATCTATCAACAAAAGAAAAATACTGAAATATGACATTTACATAGGTATTCAGACTCTTTACTCAGTACTTTGTTGAAGCACCTTTGGCAGCTATTACAGCCTCAAGTCTTCTTGGGTATGATGCTACAAGCTTGGCACACCTGTATTTGGGTAGTTTCTCCCATTCTTCTCTGCAGATCCTCTCAAGCTCTGTCAGGTTGAATGGGGAGCATTGCTGCACAACTATTCTCAGGTCTCTCCAGAGATGTTTGATCAGGTTCAAGTCAGGGCTCTGGCTGGGCCACTCAAGGACATTCAGAATTGTCTTGGCTGTGTGCTTAGGGTCATTGTCCTGTTGGAAGGTGAACCTTAGCCCCAGTCTGAGGTCCTGAGCGCTCTGGAGCAGGTTTTCATCAAGGATCTCTCTGTACTTTGCTCTGTTCACCTCCCTGACCAAGGCCCTTCTCCCGGATTGCTCAGTTTGACTGGGCGGCCAGCTCTAGGAAGAGTCTTGGTGGTTCCAAACTTCTTCCATTTAAGAATGATGGAGGCCACTGTGTTCTTGGGGACCTTCAATGCTGCAGACATTTTTTGGTACCCTTCCCCAGATCTGTGCCTCGACACAATCCTGTCTCGGAGCTCTACGGACAATTCCTTCGATCTCATGGCTTGTTTTTTGCTCTGATATGCACTGTCAACTGTGGGAACTTATATAGACAGGTGTGTGCCTTTCGAAATCATGTCCAATCAATTGAATTTACCACAGGTGGACTCCAATCAAGTTGTAGAAACATCTCCAGGATGATCAATGGAAACACGATGCACCTGAGCTCAATTTCGAGTCTCATAGCAAAGGGTCTGAATACTAATGTAAAAAAGCTATTTCTGTTTTTTATTTTTAATAATTTTGCAAAAATGTCTAAAACCCTGTTTTCGCTTTGTCATTATGGGGTATTGTGTGTAGATTTCTGAGGATTTTTAGAATAAGTCTGTAACGTAAGAATCCATTTTAG